TCTCGCCCCCCCCCAATTCTGTAGAAAGACCCCAAGGTTTTAAATCTTAGAATCTCAAGTCCCCGAACCCCCGCAGGAAGCAGTTTTCAAACTTACCCCTTCCCCCGTAGCTTTTCCTGTAAATTGTTACAAAGAATTACTCTCTTGTTCATCCCAAAACTTACCATTGGAAGGGGAAAACGGTGTCTAGAGTACGTTTTCTTTTCGTTTCTTAATTATCCTTCTTAAAGGAAATTCTCAACCTCAGGGTTTTAACTCACGGTATACTTTTTACAAGAGAAAATTTCTGCATTCTTCCCTCTTGTCAGCTATGATTTCAAAGGAGCCAAACGTGTAAAATACAAAAGATTTCCCCCCCCCCGAAGTAAAATTTTTAGTGCAGGACAACCCCGAGTTGTCGCCAGGTGTAAGTGGGTTGTGAAACAATTTAAATGGCAAGTGAATTAAAGCTCTGATAAAATAATAGCTTTTTAATTATAGTTACTGTGTTTATGTCTAGAAGTCTGGCTTTTACTAGTTATGTCGCATTCACTTATTATTATTTCTAATGGGAAAGAACTAACAGTTATGGGATTATTACTGGGTTCCAGGCACTGAGTTCTCCCTTAATATATTTTATCCTTGAAACAACCCTATTTGGTGGGTACAGTTGTTTCCATTCTGACCACAGACTCAGAGAGGTTGTAATTTACACAAGGTCACAGTCATCCTGTTTCAGAAAATCAGGATTTGAAATAGGCCTTTTCTCTGCAGTGCTTGTGCTTTTTCTTCTACGCCAGGTGGATGTAATAGAAAATCAAGTGTAGCATTTTAAGCCTCACAAAAGAAAGGTACATGTAAATAAGTAAATAGAATACTTTTGCAACTAATAAGAATTAATGTCACTGTATTTCTTTGGTGATAGTATGATTATAAGTTCTGGAATGTAACAAATTTGGATGAAGCATTTAAGAGGCATTTATTTTCTGTGATCCCAGATTTTGTAAGGACAGAAAAAAAGACTTGAGGTATGTCTGTCTTTATGGAGAAATGACTAGAAGGACATGTGCCAAAAGTGGGGTTATGATTTTTTTATTTTCTTATTCATGTTTTCAAGATTTTTAAAAGGATGTGTATTGTATAGTTAGAAAAAAGATCAAGATGAGTATTTGGAAAGGTGAGCAATGATTATGTATGGATTAATAGGGATACAGGATTATTTAGAAAAAAATGGGTAATCATACTTTTTATAGTTATCTAAACTAATCTTCCTACTAGTGTTGGGCTTATTTTGTATATTATGGAGGATTACATCATTTAAAGAAAAGTCAGCCATTATAAAGGTGATTGATTTTATGTGTGGAACCTGTTGACTCACAAAATAATTGTAAACACTATGTTAAATGTCTGTTGAGTGTTAAGAGTCTTACGTGGTTTCCCAGTGAGTGTATTTAAGCTATTTTATACAAATCCTTTGGAATAGTGCAACATTTTTTTCTCTTTAGTAATTTTTTTGCAATTACGATGTTTTGGCCATCTAAATAAGGATTAATGTGTTTTAAAATTAGGGATTACTATTTCATACACTAAATGAAACCAAATAGCCATTTATTAAAACTTTAGGTATTAAAAGCAATGCCGTTTTTAAGTTAATATCTATAATATCTGTTGATTAAAGAATTTTAATGTTAACAATTTAGGCTTTTGATTATGGGCTTTTTCAGAAATATTTTACACTTAGAATTTGTTTAATTTCTATAAAAATGAAGCCTAAGTTGAAAAAGCTTAATTTTTCTGCACTTCCTTGCTCTTTTAATTAATTACCTCTTGATTTATGAGTTTGATCTTGACTCTTGTTTTTACTGCCTTTATATTCTCCCCATTTCTGCATTAGTATATTTAAAAGGGTTTTTTGTTGTTAATTTGATTTTTGATAAAATACATATCCCTGGCCATCTTGCTTACTTCAGTTATTGACCATATATTAATAAATTTTGGAGAAAGTGAAAACTTAAGGTTGATTTTGATGTGAAAAATTAGAGCAAGAGACATAAATTTTCAAGATGTGACTTTGTAACCATGAGTCTGTTTATAACCTATGACATGGAATGTTATTTTTCAGGTGGTTTAATATGCAACATTTCATTTACTGAGATACTGTGTAGCCATTAGAAAATCCTAAGGAAATTAGCAAACAGTAAACTGAGAGAAAATATTTGTGTCTTGAAAAGTTGTACACAATCTACTATTGAGTGTAATGTAATACTTAGTCATTTGATGCTTTGTTTGGAAACAGATTTTTAAACATTTTGTGTGTACACAGGAAAAGTCTGAAAGAATATGAAGTTGACTGTTGAACAATGTGGGGGTTAAGGGTGCTGACCCCTGTGCAGTCAAAAATCCTCATAAAACTCTGCCTCCTACTTATAACTTGACTCCCCCAAATTTAACTACAAATAGCCTACTGTTGTAAACAGTTAACACATATTTTGCAAGTTATATGCATTATATACTGTATTCTTACAATAAAGCATAAGCTAGAGAAAAGAAAATGTTAAGGAAATCATAAGGAAGGGAAAATACATTTGCAGTATTTATTGAAAAAAAATCCACGTACAAGTGAACCTATGCAGTTCAAATCCTTGTTCAAGGGTCAATTGCACACCAAACTGATAACACTGACTGCTTCTGGGTGGATGAGAATTAGAGTAGAGGAAGGGAAGACTCTTGTCTAAAATGTTCTAGTAAACATGTATATGTATGTAAAAAAGGAAATTGGCACCATTTTTATGGTATTTGCATTTGGTGCACCATGATTTTTGACATTAAAAGTCAAACACAGAGTTTTTCAGTACTATTTAAATTAGCTAATTAAAGAATTGGAAAGTATGCTTTTAAAATAAAAACTGAAAACTATAGTTTGATAAGTTGTTTCTCTTTTAACAAGATGCTTAGAGTTTTTTTGTTTTGTTTTTAGAAAGGCCTTCTGTTAAAAGGAGAAAGGTATTTTCTGACAATGTTGCTGCTATTTTGGTAATTGCATAGGTTAATTAAATAATTTGTGCTCAACTTCAGCTTTCCATTTTAACGGTCAATTCTACTGAAACATTTTTGTACTAATTGCATTTCTTGTGCTAATATTTCTATTTTTGGGAACATTGAAAAGATGACATTTTGTGATGTGGAGAAATTTTCCCATAACAAATTATTGTAGAAAGCATTTTATTTATTTTAAGAGAAAGCTTATTTAGAAAGTTACAGAGGTGTAGTAGAAGTAAGCCAGCTGGGTTGCCTAGGCTCAGGAACATTACAGAAGCAAAAGAAGGGCCCTTGGAGGTTAGGAGAAAGAAAGGCAAAGGTAGCCCCTGGGGGGAAGGGAAAGGCATTGGCATGCTCCTGAGATTTTTAAAATTAAGTTTTAGAGAGAGGCAGGGAGGGGGAGAGAGAGAGAAACGTCTATGTGAGAGTGAAGCATAGATCAGCTGCCTCCTGTACGCCCCTCACCTGGGATGAGCCAGCAACCCAGGCATGTATCCTGACTGGGAATCAACCAGCGACCTTTCAGTGCATGGGACAATGCCCAACCACTGCTCACACCAGCCAGGGCTATGCAAGTACTTTAAAATTTTTAAAACAGTTAAAAAACATACACAGAATGAAAGGATTGAAGTGTGATTTTCATGTCCTAAAATTCCCCTTTTAAAGTTTCTTAAAGAAGTCAGCTTTTAACTATTAAAAAGATGTACCCACGTGTAAGATTTTTAAAAAGATATCAAACACTGCTGATGAATTTATAAATGAAGAGCAATGGTCTCCTGACCTACTCCTTCAAAATATACTTACTTGCACCAGTTTCATGTTTTATCAACTTTAGATATTAGATTGAGGATTTAGTTTGCTTTGGTAGATATTAGGTGAGGATTTAGTTTACCACACATATTGTTGATCTTGACCTACTTTCTGTATATTTATATCACTTTTAAATCATTTTCATTGGTTACCTTTGTGACTTTATATACTTAAAATTATATGTATTTCTGTTCTATGAACTTACAGACAGTATCTCTCGAATCTCTTTTTGATAAGGTGAGGTGGTTAGTGCCCCATCTTTTCTTCCATTTCTTTCTTACTCGTTCCTTCAGCTTCTATCCAGGTGAACCTAAAATAAAAATTTAAAAATGGTAATATTTACATTTCATTTTGTAATCTTACATGTCTGTTATACTTTTTACTGTTGGTTGGTTGCAAAAGCTGAACAATAATGAATAGCATTAGTTATATAGCATAACTCTGTATATTTTTCACAGTAGAGGCAATTCTACAATGGCTAGGATTTGGTTTCTTTTCCATCAGGATACCTTGTTTTGTTTTGTTTCTTTTCCGTCAGGCATGTTACCTTGGTAAGGATCTTGAAAGAGATTGTCCAAATGAATTCTCCTTTCTTATATTCTACAGATTGATCAAAATGATGCTTTTTTAGTTTTTTCTTTTAGAGAAAGAACATTTCCTGATTCCTTCTAGCTATTCTTGAAATCCATTTTTCCCTGTCTGTTTTAATTTTGGTGTTTTGCTTCACATTTGGGCTATGATTTTTCTTGTACATATCTACCTCTCTCCCCCAATACATCCAAAATTTTATTTTATTTTATTTTTCAATTTACAGTCAGAATTCTGTATTAGTTCCAGATGTACAGCATAGTGGTTAGACAATCATGTACATATCCAAAATTTTTAGCTGTCTTTCCTCCTTCCCCTATTTGCTCCTTTTTATTATATCATCAGTCATACCCTCAATCATATCATCTATTCTGCAGAGTTCTTTTTTCCTCGAGACTGCCCTCTTGGAGACCTCCACTTTCCTAGTCCAGTCTGGACTGGTTCACTTGCCAAACAACTTGTGTACTAGAATTCCCTTTCACAGCTTTCCCAGGTTTTCTCTGTTCTCTCTTGAATGTCATGTTTTATGCTTTCTTCGTTTTTATTTTTGTTTTTCTGGTGCACATTCTAAAGTAATTTCCTTTCACGGGCCATTAGGAAGTAAACTTTCTCTGTTCTTATATGGCTAAAATGTGTTTCTCCTCTCACACTTATGCTCCCAGGGTCCACACTGAGTACCAAGATTCTAGGAAATATCCTCAACATTGTCTTTTCTTCAGGGCCAGTTTTTAAGTTTATTTAAGTTTTTCTTTATCACGCCCCAGGTTTTCCTTAGATGTCCAGTGATTCTTCGTTGCCTTAAGATGATGCTGTAGAGGGGCTTATGGATAGGTTTCTCCTGTTATGTGAGTAGATAGGAAGCTGGCAATTATACTGGAGGGTGTGGGAGTTTTGCTTTGGGGTGCTGGTACCCAAACCTATCTGCTAAAGTTAGAAAAGAGCTTCTGGTGTTGTTCCCCCTTCCCCCATTCTTTTGTAGGAGAAACTTTCATCAAAGGAGTGAAAGAGGGGACATTCTTCTAGTGATAATATAGAGAAAACAAAGCAAAGGAATTAACAAGACCTTTCTTAATTGTGGGGAGAACAGAGGGTTGTGCAGGAAAGGAAAAATAGACATAGTTTGTACCACATGGCTTAGTTGTGAATTGCACTTACCGAATCATGGTAATGTAAAGACTGAACACTGTCTAACTGATGTCAACCTGGAGTGATTTTGCTTTCCTCAGAGAACTTCTGTTTGGCAGTATCTGGAGATCTTTTTGGTTGTCACAACTTGGAGGGGAGTGCTATTGGTATCTAATGGGGAGAGGCTAGGGATGCTGCTGAGCATTCTGCAGCTCTCAACATGAATCACCTGCTCCACAATGCCGATTATGCTGAAGTTGGCAAAGGAACCAGACCATCGTCATTTTGTTGGGAGGGTGGAGAGGTGAGAAGGGTGCGTAGAGTGGGAGCGGAAGTAGTTAATTCCTTGTCTTCCATGATGCAGATGAAAGTGCCTAACTGAGGAAATAAGAAATAGCACTCAGATGTGTGTGTGTTTGAAACATGGAGGCAAGTTAAAGTCAGATGAAACAAGGCTGGTTTTTGTAGGGCTGTTTGTCCTGTAGGGACCACCCAGTGGCTGGTCTGAAACTTGGGCAGTGGCCTTTCCTGTCTTGTGCAGCTTGGGGTTAAACCCGAGTTCATAGACAATTTCATGGGACTGATTTTTTTTTTTGAACTGTTTCTTTTGCTATCTCTCTGGTACTTCTCAGTTCCTTTTATCTCCTCTTTTCAGTTCTATGGCCCAAAAGACACTTCTGCCACACACGGCGACTCTCCCCATGTCTGGGCCCAAGTGACTAGAGGGTAAAAGAATAAAAGCAGTGGAGGTCGCCCCACTCTTGGGACCACACAGCTCTTGTGATCTGAGATGAAGGTTCCTGTCCCTCAGAGCTTTAGACTTGGGGGCGTTCCTGTTACAGTCTCTATTGCTGTCACTTTTGTAACCATGACTGCATTGCTTTGGGGGCTGGGGCATGAGAGAAGGGAGGAAAAAAGGAGGGAATTTCCCCCACATCTCCGAGCCTTGGGAGACCCTTTTGGACTCCTTTCTTGATCCTCAAGGCAGAACTAGAGGGCTCCTGGAGCTCTCTGCCCCTGCTTGTGCCCACTTCCAGTCCCCAGTCCAGCCAGGGGATACTAGAGGGTGGGAAATGATAAATTCACTTTGAATACTGGCCTTTCCTCCAGTCTTCTTGTTAATATTTACTTTTTACAGGTCTCAAATAGCTGTTCCATGCATTTTGCCCAGGTTTTTTAGCTGCGTTTTATGGGATGGACAAAGTGGAGTGTACTTGCTCTATATTGTCAGGAATAGGAACCAATTTACTTAAAAGATAAATTATAACTATCAGTATGTTACTATCAACATATGTCAGACAATTTGCTAGACTGGGAACAAAAATATGCAAGTGTATTGTATATTATCTCAGTGCACTAATTTGCAGGGGTTTGTGGCCAATAGTAAAAATCAGATAATTGCTGTAATGGAGTGGGAGTCAGAGAGAGCGTATAATCTCAGAGTGATGTAAGAGGTTGTGCAGGTGGTCAGTGACCAGATCTCAAATGCCATATAGAAGAGTTCAGATTTTGTCGTAGGTAATGCCATTGGGGTGCATATTATACGTTTTGTTCTTAGCGTATGTGCGGTTTAAGAACCTTTTCCACATAGTTTTTCTGTATTGAAATGTAGATTGTTGTACATACATTTGTCCTACCATTTACTTATTACTTCCCTTATTGAAATGTTATATTATTTTTATAATTTAAAAGTTTTGTTTTTTTTTTTAAATTTGATTTGAAACTTGGAAACAACCAAGAACATTTAAGCAACAGTCAGTGAATAGTGTAAATGATCAAACTGGGTGATACTGTTATTTGGGGGTGGGGGGTGGGGATGATACTGTTTTTAATTTTAAAAAATAACTATAAAATCAAGGGATTTCTTTTATGTAGTTCAACTAAGATTACTAGAAGAAAGGAATACCAAAAATACTCTGCATTGGAAGATGCAGTTGGTTGTTGCTTAATGACTACTGTAAATCACATTTACTTAGATTTATAAATTCTGACTTGTTTGTTGCACGAAATAGAGGTTCATTATTCAAATCACATATATACATATAATATACTCTATAAAATAAATATGTCACTTCCCCCAAATGTACTTGGAAAAGACAATTTAGGATTTTTGAAAGTGAGTGTGTTTGAAAGTTAGTTTGAACTTAGATTCTGGAGATGAGGCTTTTTGGGAAGGTTGTAGTCTATTAATGAGCACCAGAGTATTGATTTCTTTAATCTTTTTGGTAGTACTTGAAATGTGAAGATTAAGCAGCTATCTAACATCTTTTCTGTTTGCTTGTATGAATATATGTGCATATATTTTTAGAATATGTTTTGTTCACCTTTAGTTTATTGTTAGTGAGTTCTTAAGTTTATCTCTGTGTTTGTGAACAGAGGGTAAATGGCTTCTTAAAAAAATTCAGAGATGTCTCTGTTTTTTCCAGACTCATCGTCTCTGTAGTAATTTCCTCAAATTTTGCTTTCTTTTTGTTTTTATTTAACTTTATTTTCCTTCNCCTGACCGAGAATTGAACCATGATCTCCTGGATCCCAGGTTGATGCTCAACTGCTGAGCCATGCCAGCTGGGCTATTCCTCTTTATTGTTGAAAGTATTACAGACGTCCTCTTTTTACCCCCCATTGAGCCTTTCCACCCCACATATGCCTCACTCCAAGGCCTTCCCCATACTATCGTCTGTGTCCATGGGTTATGCATTTATGTATATAAGTTCTTAGGTTAATCTCCCCCCATCCACCCACCCACCCCTGCTTGGTCCCTACTTTTCTCTGGTGGTGGGTGGCTCAGGGATGAAGCAGTTAAGTAGGTTAAAATAAATCGTTATGGTTTGTAAATAATTTGTATATGTTTTTGTTTTTGACAGCCGATTTATTTTGCATATTCCCAGCGAGGAAAGAGACAATGCTATCCGAGTGTGTTTTCAGATTGAACTTGCCCATTGGTTTTACTTGGATTTCTACATGCAGAACACACCAGGATTACCTCAGTGTGGGATAAGAGATTTTGCTAAAGCTGATATCCTTTTTATTACTGTAATGACTCTTTCATTCTTGTTAGTAAAATATTTTAGCACAAATTTTCTTTTGCTTGTCCTTCAGATTTATTATCTACTTGAAAAAACATACTTGATTTCTAAAAATTGTCAAATATAAATAGTAGACACAATTCAACAGGATTCTTATTTTTATGTAGAGGATGCCTTGAAATGTGCACTGATGATTAGAATTAAATTTTCTCCCCTCTCTCCCCCAAAATAGCTAACCTATTTCTAGACCTAGTCTCTGTTATTTTCTTCTTGCTGTTCTATTTAACCAGATGATCTTTAATCAGATTACTACCTGTATGAGATAGAAATTCTTAAAATTATTGAATACTTACTATGTTCAAAGCAGTGTTGTTGGTTCTGTGGCAAATGACAAAGAAGTCCTTGCCTTCGAAGCAGCTTTTTTTTTCTTTACAGATTAGATAGAAGCTTACATAATTTATTAGTTGTAAAAGATTCACATGAATATTTAAGATTATAAAAGAAGTTATGTCACAAGGCAGAAATTGGTGAGTTGCTAATGCTCCTGATATTAAATGTTTTTAGAATTTTAAAAAAGGGTGGAAAGATTTTAGATAAATTTATGTTTTTAAGGCAATTTCAGATTTTTATTATTTTTTTAATCCTCACCCAAGGATATTTTTTCCATTGCTTTTTCAGAGAGAGTGGAAGGGAGAGAGAGAGAACCATTGATGTGAGAGAGGCACATCAATTGGTTGCCTCCTGCACATTCCCTGACGGGTTGGGGATCGATCCTGCAAGTGAGATATGTGCCCTTGGCCGGAATTGAACCTGGGACCCTTCAGTTCCCGGGCTGACGCTCTAATCACTGAGCCAGACTAGCTAGGGTGAGAATTTCGGATTTTTAAAATGGACAGTAATGGGGAATATGTACCAGGTAAAGAAAATGGACTGAGCAAAATTGGAGGGTTGGAATGGAATAAGGTATATCTTGGAAGTAAATTAATTTGTACTGAGCAGAGGGTTCTTATAGGGATAAAATAGAAGATGTGAATGGAAAGTATATATTGGGGGTTTATGGGTTCTTAAATCTTGAGTCAAAGGAGTTTGATTTTTATTCTGTAGGTCGGGTGGGGAAAATCTGGCCTACAAAATCATTTGGTCTGGCCCTGCCAAGGCAACTGCAGGCTGGTCTTGAAATTCAATAAATCTAGGAGCTTTTTCATAGCTAATTTTTAAGTTGATAATTTTGTGTGGCCCAAGAATGATGTTATAAATATCCAAATGACCCTTGGCGGAAAGAAGGTTCCCCACTCCTGCTGNATTTTGTGTGGCCCAAGAATGATGTTATAAATATCCAAATGACCCTTGGCAGAAAGAAGGTTCCCCACTCCTGCTGTAGGTCATTGTTTTTAACCATAAATCATGTATTCAAATGGAATTGTACCCCACAATTCACTGTACCACACTAGAGTTGGAGTAGGGATAGGCGACCTATAATAACCTTCATACTCAGCTCCCTATAATTTTCCTTGAGCCCCATGAACTAAGGAATCCCATAGGCCTCTGCAGAAAATGGATGAATACTGTTATAGATAACTTAATCATAGGAAGTTTTTGAGCAGAGTTAAAGAATATTACTCAGATCATTTGAAAATGGTATTCAAGAACACTTATTTGGCAGGATAGATTGAACTGTAGGGTGGACTGTTACATTACTTGAGCTATGGAGCAGTAAGGTCCTGAACCATAGTGGAGGGACTACAAAGGAAAGACTGCAGAGACATTTCAATGGAAGAAGTAAGCTATCTTATTGATTAAATATGGGGAAGTAAATGAGGAATCAAAGTGAAATAGAAGTACTATTGAGCACTGCCTTAGTTAAAGGCTTGGTGATAGGTTCTCTGGAGAAATTATAGAAAACTTTGCTTTTAAGAAGCTATAATCTAGTTATAGAAGCATCTAGACAGGCAAATCTTCTGTGTTTTTGGTCTACTTTGCATACTCGGGGTTCTACCAAAGTAACTTTATATATTTTGGGGTTCTGGATAAGATTTTGTGTGTGTATGCACATGAGTTTAAAAAATCAGAAACCTCTGTTTTAGTTACGTTTCTTTAAATTCACTTATATGAAGAAAAAAATCTTTATTGCTAACATGGTAGACTTGATTAAATAACAGTGCCTATTCTGTGCCAGGCATTATGCGGTGAACAAGGTAGATTCAGTCCCTGTCTTCAAGAAGATGAGAGGGACACAGGAAAGGAAATGATTACAGTGTAGTATGGTAAGTAATGATAGAGGAGTAAAGGGCTCAGTAGGAACAGAGGAGAGGAAGACTTAACCCAGACTTGGAGCTAGATAGAAGTTTTCTTTGGAGGAAGTGGTTTGTATGAGAAAGATCTATGTGAAAAGGTGAAATAATGATTGTGTTTTAGAGTAAATGGTCTGGGACAGGAGATTATGCCAGAGAGTAAGTCAGGGCTAAAGTATGTAAGGGTCTTTATTCTTAAGAGTAATAGAATATAGGAGATTTTAAAAATCAAACTTTTTATTTTGGAAAAAAATGTCAACTTACAGATAAGTTGAAAGAATATTACAGTGAACTACTATCATACCCTTTTTATATATTGACCCATTGTTAACATTTTGCCACATATGCTTTTTTTCTCTCTGAGTGTATTGAAAGACAGCTCTGGAATAGTGAGCATGATTTGGAGGAAGGCGAGATGCAGTTTCACTAACATAAATTAGAAATGGAAACCTGTGATAGAAGTGAATAGAAGAGGTTGAATTTGATATTTAGGAGGTAAAGTTGGTGTTAACTTGGATATCTGAGGATAGGTGGAAGAATCAGGGATGGTACTCAGGTTTCTGGTTCAAGCAGTTGAGTGGATGGGTGTGCTATTTCATTTGTAGAAAAAGGAGGGGAAAATTTTTTGGGGGAATGATGGACTCAGTTATGGACAAGTTGGTTTGTGGTACCTGTGGGATATTGATGTAGAGAGACTATAGAATAAAATTTATTGGCAGAGTTCTGGGGACAGATCCCTTGGGTTAGCATTATTGACCATGCAGCCTTAGGCAAATTGTGGTGCTTTTCTGTGCCTCTGTTTTTCTTATGTAAATTGTGCATGGTTTTAGGATTTTTCTTCAATAAGCACTGAGCATTGTGGGTGTAGATTGGGTATCCTCGATTTGTTCCTGGGTTGAGGTTTTGCCAGGGAGCTATATTCAGAGAACAGTGGGGCAAAGGAATTTTGGATATTGCTAAGAGATTGGTTAAAGTGATGGACCATGTTTAGGGAAGAAAATAAAGGTAGGAGGGTCTAATGCAGAGAAAGGAAAATAGTCAGAGTTGATGTAAAATTACTTTATACTGTGAGTAATTAAAAGAATGGGGTAAAAAGTTGTGGTCAAGATTTTTATTTTAATCATACTGTCAGAATAGTTCTAGTGATGGCAAGGTCCAGAATGTTGTGGAAATTGGGCCTGGAAATGGAATAGATATGAAGGACAAGGAATATAAGAAACTGAGGCTCGAGCTCGAGACAAGTTGTTCATTGGGAAATTGATATAATCTAAGATAATGGTAGGATTACTGTTTATACATGAAGCAGATTTTTCAAGTTTTTGCAAAAAAATGTTACAGTAGAAAAAGAATATTAAAAAATCACCGGATTGTTCAAAGAGAGAAAATGTATATAATAAAAGTGGACATGCTTGAAATTCTTACATTCTTTAATCCATGTAAACTTCTTTCTCTTAGAATTACTGTGAAAGGTCCAGCATGCCAGATTTAAGACTCAAAATAATTTGGTTTGGGGGTTAAGAAAATCAGACAGTAGTCAAGAATTTTAGTAAAAATTAGAAATGATAATAATGATTCAATGTATATTTTGGGGTTTTCAAATAAAATACATTATCTCATCAAATAAATATGGCATTTAAAAAGTTCACTCCCATGTTTGAATTGAATTGCTTTTATTCACTATTAAGTATGAAGGAGGATTGAAGAGTTGTCAGTGGGACAATTGATGAAGTCATTTTGGATTGGGTTCTGTTACTTGCTAATTGTTTGGACTTGAACCAAATACTTAACAGGTTCCTTTCAACATTAATTTCAAAGTGTATCTTGAACTGTAGTTAGTTGGTTCAGTCAGCTCACTTATTTTGTGTGGTTCTGGGGTAGAAAAAAATGTATAAATGAGTGTAAATAGTTTCCAAAGTTAAGTCAGTTGATGTACTTTCTCTTACTAAACCTTTCTTTTTTGTTATTCTTTTTAAAGAAGTTGTTTAATGTATAGAAAAATTTGGTAATACTGCTTTGTGGAGATGCTGGTGCACCTTGAAATTAGGACTGTTGTAGGGAGAAGGAAGAGAAAGAAAAAATAACTGGTTAAGTACCTAGTCTCTGAACTATTGGACATTATCTCTGTTCCTGGAGTATTTTGCTATGTTCTTCTCAATGGTTAAATTTTTAATGAGAAAATCCGTTTATTTAAAATTTGTACTATCTATGATGACTTTAAAACATAAGGGATTTTACTAAGCATATAAAGCCAGACTTTTATTGGAATATAACTTTCAGAATCTTAGCAAGCCTGTGTAGAACCATAGGGCTTCATGAAATGGTTAATGTTGTGTCCAAACTTTATCCCCGCTCCCCCCAGATGAAGGCATGGAATAATTATTTTGAGATTAACCTACTGCCTGTCTTTTTAATTACAAGGTTACAGATGGTTGACTTCTTTTGGTTCTTGGAAGGCCTCTTTAGTTGTTACTACAACTATAAAACCAAGACAAATTTTTAAATACAAAACTGTAGAACTCATAGAATTTATTTTTATAAACTGAATTTATTGCAATTTTTTTGTTTGTTTAAACCAAACAACCAATCACAATATGAATATAATTCTGGCTTCTTTGAGGGTGTTTGGACATGCCTGTAAGTACCAGTTTTTCCACCAATTTTCTTTGCTTTGTTTGTTATGAAACCTTTCTTTCTACATTATGTTGGGATATCATTTGACCCTTTTACGATCATTTGTGTATTAGATTCTTCTGTTTTCAGTCCCCGAAGCAGTTAAAGTAATACTAGTACCAATATGATCTCTGAAATCAAGTGATAGTACTTGATGTTTGTGATTATGCAAAATGATGGAAAGTATGTTCATGTTGCATGTTTCTAGATTAACATGAAGATGAAAACAGAATATAGAAGTTTTCATAGAGGACTTTAGGACCCTTAAGACTATGTCCTTGGTTTGAGAAACAGTATCGTAAATTATAAACCCCCCCCCCTTTTCATAATACGTGTTACAGTGATGAGGTATTTGACAGCATGGAGTATTGGAAGCCTGACTATATACAGGGTGGGGCAAAAGGACGTTTACAGTTGTTCATATGGAAAATAATACAGTAATAATACAAAAACTCCTTGTTTAGGGCACTCACAACTGTAAACCTACTTTTTCCCCAACCTTATACTTTATAGGTATAGGTTTTATTTACTTTTTAAAAAAAATTATTTTACTCTGCCCAGTTTTTGGGAGGGAGCATACCCAGTTTCCTTTGAAACAGGCTATAATACCCAGATTTACCTTTCTGTATAATCCTTAGTAAATCTTCATCTTAAAAATGTTTGTAATTGTGAAAGCAGTATGTGCACACGGTAAAGAAAGGCAGCGTGTGGAGTGGTATACTTCATCCCAAGTTTACTTCCCACCGTTAACCACTTGAACTTGTTCCTACAGTTTCTACCTCTTACCAATATGTGTACTGTACTTGTTTCTTGTTGTTCATTTCAGTATCTGTTGACTTCTGATATGATGAAATTGACTCAGTGAGAAGTATTTGAGGTATTCACATGGTCCTGAATTTATTTGTGTTAACTTAGGGATCCAGGACTATGAGTATCCAAAGTTTACTTAATTAGTGTCTAGGTTAAATGCAGAAGTTAGCAATGATGTGTTCAAGAAAAAACAAATGTGAAAAAACAAAAGCAAGAGGGTTAATCTTAAGTGAGGTGAAAATTTGAGTAATTTCACAGAAGATGCACAGTTGATTTAAATAGGTCTCTTTCTGTATATAAGTGCTCTCAAGCTGTATTAAGTAACTTCCTTAACACTATGTATACTCTTCAGTCATTGTCCGTTTTTGCTGCCTCAAGGTGAAGACGTGGAAAAAGTTTTGGATGAATGGAAGGAGTATAAAATGGGAGTACCAACCTATGGTGCAATTATTCTTGATGAGACACTTGAAAATGTGAGTATAATAAAATGCAGTGGTGATCATCCTATTAATAAAATACATTATTTCTATAAATTTTCCAAATTGAGAATATTAGCACTAGATTTTTAGTGCTGAGAGGCCAAATTTTCCAAATTTTGTCTGCGTTCTGTCTTAATATTTTATACTTGTTACAGTATAGCTTATTGCAAAGAAGTTCCCCTTCATTATTGAAGAAATACCTTAAAATGGGCAGGATGCCTTTGTTCACACCAGTAGTATATTCAGACTCATGGAAGATAATTAAACCAAGAATTGTGTTAAGTTACTGGTGATAACAGTTACCTAAAGTAAGGAGAAAAACAACTGAGTTAAAGAGAGGAGTATGGGAAAGCAAGACAAGTTTTATTTTTATCTCTGCTTGTGTTGTAGGTACTACTGGTTCAGGGCTACCTAGCAAAATCAGGCTGGGGATTTCCAAAAGGAAAAGTAAATAAAGAAGAAGCTCCTCATGATTGTGCTGCTAGAGAGGTAAGTTATAACTGTTGCTTTTTTGATCACATCTATCATATATTCTTTCCTTATTTGTTTCTATTTTCTTTGATTGTCTATTGTATTATCTCTGTAACTCTTTTGCATGGGGGTGGGGAGGTGAAATCTTCTCCACCTTTCCTTTTAGAATTGGATTTGCAACTAGTAAAACATTTTGGCTCCTATAACCCTTGTTTTATGGTTAGTTTTGGCTTCCAGACAAAGCACAATCAGAGCTTTTCTAAGAAATCGACATTTGTCGCTCAAAACCACTCTACCTTCCCACTATCTATAGGATGAAGTTTAATTCTTTAAGTATTAAAACTCCCTCCCTTACCCCAACACAAAACAGCCTTCCTAAATTTATCTTCATTTACAGTCAAAAGGACTTACTGTCTGTACCTTGAATTTGACTGGTTTGTCTCAGCTTTTAAAATTTTGCTTATATTATTTTCCTTCTGGTGGAAAGCTCTCTCTTTTCTGACTTTTTAAATTCTCTGTAGGTACCTTTCTAGATGCAGCTCAATTTATCCTTTGTTTTTTCTTTGTTGAAGGACTGTCACCAACTAGCACTGTACACAGGACTTGAGTTTCTTATTTATAAGATGAGGTTTAGAGTGGATAATTTCTAAAGTTTATTCTTGCTTAAAATTGTATTTTTAAATCTACCCAGTCAGCTCTATCCCACAGTAACCTCTGAACTATAATAGCAGTTGTCTTTTTCTTTTGCTTGGCATTGATTATGTAGTACTTTGTGATAGATTGCGTATTATGTTCTTACTTATCAATTCCTTATCATTTATCATTATCAGTGTTCACATCCTGGTTTAAGTTTGGATCTAATTATTAGTGAGGGATAGTAGTTAAAATTTTTATAAACCACTAGTGGTTATTTACCATACAGAAATTGTTAGTGGTTATTTACTTTGGAGTCGGATATGACAAACAATGAAAAATGCTACATTTTAAATGTCTGTTACGTGCTGTTGAGTCAGCTCTGGCTCTTGACGACGACGTTATGAATGAATGATGTCCACAGTGTTTTGTCCTTCACAGCCCTGCTTTGCTCCTGAAGACTCATGCCAGTGGCTTGTATGGAATCAGTCCATCTCACATGTGGTCTTCCTCTTTTCCTGCTGCCTTCTATTCCCAGCATTATTGGCTTTTCCAAAGAGCCCTGCCTTCTCTTGATGGCAGGAGGTGAAATGGGGTAGTTGTGAAGTCTTCCCTTCTGTGTCCTCAGACTTTGTAGTCCTCTTACTTCTGAGGAAGGACAAAGCAGGAGGTGTAGCATTGCACTAAGAGGAGTTGATCTGCAGTCCTGTACATGGCGTTCAACTAGTCCTGTGGCAGAGACAGTTGTCGAGGTTCAGAAAAGACACTGCATTAACTGGAATAACAAATTTAGGCTAAATGGAATGAGATCGGCTGTCTCTGTAATTGGATCTTGGGAGCACTTGGAGGAAATCAGATACGTACACTTGCAAAACTGAAGTGCCCTGGACCCAAGGGGTCTATCTGCATCTACCACTAGAACCCCCACTGTGACTAGTGTTATGCACTATATTGTAAAGAGTGAGGATATTGCAGAAATAGGATATTTGGGGTAAGAGAGAGTGGTAGTTAACCTGTGAACTGAGGCACCCAGTTTTCACTTTGCTATATCTTATTTGTTCTCTACTTGGGGATACTAACATAAAAGGTCCTGTTCATGTGCTAATTTCAGTAATGACTACAGACAGCCCTACTTTGTAAGAAAGTAAATAAAATTTATTCTTAGGGCTTGGGGAGTGGGAGACAGGAGTGTGGATGATAGGATCTAAAGAGAGTCTTGTGGGGAGGGATATAACCATTATGGGAGATTATCTCTATTTTACAGGCAAAGAACTGAAACAGCAGTTAATTAACATGCCCAAGGTTACACAGTTAGTAAGCAGAACAGGGATGTAAAAACCTGGTAGTTGGGCTCTGGAGTTAATGTTCTTGACTGCTACAATTTAGGCAGGCAGGAATATTTGTAAAGGAGGGAGTATTTTTTTTTTAATCCTCACCCGAGGACATTTCATCCCTTGCTTTTCAGAGAGAGTAGCAGAGGGAGGGAGGGGGAGAGAGAGCGAGAGAGTGAGAGAAACATCCATTGGTTGCCTCTTGCACATGCCCAGATGGGGCCAGGGATCAAGCCTAAAACCAAGGTACGTGCCCTTGGCTGGAATCGAACCTAGGAACCTAGGACCCTTTAGCCTGCGGGCCGACGCTCTAACCAGTGGGCCAAACTGGCCAGGGCAAGGGGGGAGTATTTCTAAACACAAAAACACACAAATGAAAACAGGAGGAATTTGTGATTTTTAAGTGTATCTATTTCCTAATAAAATTATTTTTTTGTTCTGGATCAATATGAAATTTGTTTGTTTTAGTTTGAGTTTTTGCCTTACTCTGAGGAAATCACAGGTATTCTGAGGAATCATAGCTGCTTAAATTCAGGGGGAAAATTTTCCCTTTGATAATAAGAATTGATCTTCTAACCTTTCTGATCTACACAATATCCTCTTTTAGCTGATAAAAAACCTTGTCAGAAAAGACTTGACTTTAATTTATAAACATTTTTGGATTAGAGTTAAAAATTTTTTTATAAGAGTTTATTTGAGCCAATACTGATGACAGTTGCTGGGAAGCAAGATCTTAAATGCTCCTTGGATTAGAATTTTTAAAGGCAAGTCTTGTGACTTTTATTCTTGATTTTTAAATGACTGCCTTTGTCATAAAGAGAGAAAAGTTTTGGTATTAAGCTAGTGTATTGCTGTATTAGTCTACTCAGGCTGCCATAATAAAATACCACAGACTGGGTGACTTAAAGAACAGAAATTTCTTTCTCACCATTCTGAGTCTGGGAAGTCCAAGATCAAGGTGCCTGCTGATTGGATTCCTGGTGAGAGCTTTCATTCTGGCTTGTGGATGGTAGCCTTCTCACTGTGTGCTCATGTGGCCTTTCCTGGGTCCATGTGTGAGTGCAGAGAGAGCGAGCACTAGTGTCTCTTCCTCTTTATAAGAGCATTAGCCCTATTAATCCCACCTTTATGACTTCTTTAACCTTTATCACCTCCTCACGGGCCCTTTCTCCAAATACAGTCGCATTGGGGTTTAAGACTTCAACATACGAATTTTGGAGGAACACAGTTCAATCCATAGCAGTTGCCATTCTTGAGTGATGAAAGTCTTCAACTAGTTCTAGAGGTGCAGTATGTCATTCTGCTACTTGGTGGTGCTGCAGTATAATAGAAGCAGCACTGTTTGAGAGGAGGAACCACCAGTGTTAAGACTCAGTTGAAAACTAGATTCATATTCTATTCTTTATAGGAATATTACATTGTTCCTTTTAATTTTCACCTTATTAACATATAAGGAGAGGTTTTGTCCTAATTTTCAGCTGCCATTCATTAGACTTAGGCTGATATTTTAAGTATCTTTCCTCTTGCTTTTAAATTATGCTGGTCTACCATGGATGATTATCCTTATATTAAGTTGCTAATATTTTAATTTGGTTTTATAGCATTTTATTTTGGTTTATTATATTAATGTTATTTCACTATAGATGGCCGTCCAGGGTGTTTTGTTATGCTGTAGAAGAATTTGACACATCCCATAAGGGCTGTGTATGTGAGCTGAGGTGAAAGAAGCAGGGGCAAGCAGGCTTCTCAGGGAGAAGGCTTTTGCCTGTTTGTTTTTTTGTTATTTTATTGATTTGAGAGAGAGAGAGAAACCAGTTTTGTTCCACTTATACATTCATTGGTTGATTCTTTTTTTTTCTTTTTAACTATATCTTTATTGATTTCAGTGAGAGGAAGGGAGAGGGAGAGAGATAGAAACATTAATGATTAGAGAGCCGTCATTGACACCTCCGAAGGGGATTGAGTTCGCAACCCAGGCATGTGCCCTGACTGGGAATCGAACCACGATCTCCTGGTTGAACCCACAACTTTGGCATATTGGCACGACGCTCCAACCAACTGAACCATCCAGCCAGGGCAATTAATACCATTTTTTTCCTATACTTCCTGGAAGGAGCCAGAGGTTTAGCATACTTAGGAGCGAGTTTACAGAAATTGTGATAGAAATGAGTTAGCTGTCATGGAGGAACTTAAATTGGAAGTCACAGACTACACGTGTCTGAGAGAAGTATCCATGTTCCCTGACTGAGGAAGGTAGGAAGATGTACGTGAACTGACAAGACAAAGAGGGAAGAGACAAAAAGAATGGGTTGAAAGCTCTTCCACACCTGTACCTTGTAAGAGAGTCGGGCCTGTGCATGTGTATAATGCCTCTGCCCCACTGACTGATGAGGAGATACTAAAAATGGAGGAGAGGGGAGGAACTCCAGCATAAAAGAACAACAGTAGTTTTTAGCCACTCAGAGTCCAGAGTTGTTTTGATTTGGGGGTCGAATTGGGTAAGGACATTGTCAGAGTAATATAAGTGTTACTTTAAAGAGAACTTTAAGGCTAGAAGAGACCAGTGGTTTTTTATTTTAAACAAAAGCCCAGTATTTAATCAGATTAAGCATGACTTTTTTGGTTGAAGAAAAGGTGAGGGTTAGATGTAACATTAATTCCTGAGATTTATGTTCTCCCAGGTCAGCCTCTCTCAGCCTTTGAGGTATTACTGAGAAAAGGCAGGCTTAGGACCATTAATCCAGTTCACTAGTTTTCAGATCTTTTGAATTTACAACCTCACCCGCTCCTCAGTGTGGTTGTAACTGTACTTTTGAAATCTGTCCATTTAAATGATGGTATTATTCACAATTCAGTTTTCATGTTTGAAAAATAGTTTTATTTGTGTTAAGATATTTTTTAATCTGTAGTTTGGTATTCATATAGATTCATGGATCCTGTGAATAAAATCCATATGTGATCCCCAGTGATGTGCTTTCCACAGATTGGGAACCACAGATGTATTCAAACATCTTAAGGTTTCTGGACCCAGTTACAATGTGTATGGGGGTTTCTTTATTCCAGGAAGCAATTTTTGGATACGAACTGGGTGTCCTATAATTCAACTCAATTCTAACAAGAGGGTACCCAGAGATAGCATCATATTTCACAGGTTAAGTGCTCAATCCCACAAGACTGCCCTCCACTTCAGATGCCAGTCACATGTCAAGGTTGTTACCTGTGATTCTGACCAACTAGCCATAGGTTGAAGGTTCCAACAACCCTCTCCTCGGGTTTGATTAATTTGCTAGAGCAGCTCGCAGAACTCAGAAACGTTTTACTTACAAATCACCAGTTAGTTAGAAAAATATATAATTCAGGAACAGCAAGATGGAAGAGATACGTAGGGTGAGGGATGGGGAAAGGGCACCAAGCTTCCATGCTTTCTCCTAGAGCAGCACTGTCCCCACATCTCCATGTGTTCAACAACCTGGAAGCTCTTGAACTCCGTTCTCTTGTTTTTTTGTGGAGGATTTGTGATTTAGGCATAGTTATAGCAAATGAGCTCAATCTCAGGCTCTCCCCTTTCTGGAAGTTCCATCCAACCCTCTACTCACTTGGCTGGTTCTTCTGGTAACAAGCCTCCAGGGATTAAAAAACACCTTCATTAACATAACAAAAGATACCTTTGATGTTTTTGTTTTTTTTTTTGGCCGGTAAATCTTTTATTGACAACTAGGGACATAGCCATAAGAGAGGGAAGCACAGAGGACTGCAAATTAAAACCCAATAGCCAGCAAGGGCCCTTTGGGCCAGGAACACTGCATCCTGGGGTCCTCACAGTCTCCTACCAGTAGACCCACAAGACTGGGCATCCAGGAGAGGGGGCAGTGACTCTGGTATCCCAGAGAGTGATAGGATATATGATGCCTCATTACGAGAGACGGGGTAAGGAGGTAAAATGGAGAGAGGGCCCATCACTGCCTAAGACCACCTCCTCTTCTAGAGCCAACACCAGGTGGAGGACTGAACTACCTAGGATTTTGTCATCAGCTGCTGTCTTCTCATCATTCATCTGTTGACCACTGTAGATGAGCCGCTGCTGCTGTGGGGGGATTCCTTCTTTCTCTTCCACACCTTCCTTGATTCGTTCCACCTTGTCTGTGGGTTCAGTGTCAGTGTCAGTCTCCTTTCCAGTCAAGTGTCTTCACTTTAATTAGCATCTTCGTCCAGTATTGGGTCTGCACACAGATAAATCGCTGCTTCTACCGCTGTGGTGGCCGCTGCCACTCCCCAGCACTCGTTTGGTACGAGTCACTTCTGCTTCCGGGTCCCTTTGATGCTTTTATCACTTAGGAAATTCCAAGGGTTTTAGGAACTTTGTAACAGAAAGGGGGAGGAAGACCAAATAAAGAAATTCTTTTTATAAATCACAATATCACACATCTCCATTGAATAGAAGGAGAAACATAGGCTCAGATATATAAAGAGGTTTTTCTATAGTTGAACATTTCAGTAGAGACAAAGTTAGAACTAGATCCTGGAATATTCTGACTTCCTGCCTAGTTTTCATGCCTTTAATTGCCTCGATAGTTCTGAATTTTTGCCTTTGAAGCAAGCAAATTTTAATGAATTGGAGGTCTGACAGTAAAAATTTAAAAATCATTATCCAAATTTGTTATTTCCAGGTCTTTGAAGAAACTGGTTTTGATATCAAAGATTATATTTGTAAGGATGATTACATTGAACTTCGAATCAATGACCAGCTTGCTCGTTTGTACATCATTCCAGGAATCCCAAAAGACACAAAGTTTAATCCGAAAACCAGAAGAGAAATTCGGGTATGTAACTGAAAGTACTTAAGTTTGCAAGACAGTATCCCAATTGAATGAAGTAGGAAATTGCTTTTAGAAACACCTTGATAATAATTAACTAAATGAATTATTTTCTTCTTGTGTTTCAGAACATTGAGTGGTTCTCCATAGAGAAATTGCCCTGTCATAGAAATGATATGACCCCAAAATCAAAACTTGGTTTGGCTCCTAACAAATTTTTTATGGCTATTCCCTTTATCAGGTATGTTCATATTTCTTGAAATAAAAAACTAACCTTCATAATTCTGCTACTCAGTTTCTTCACATAGCCAAGTTTTAAAAGTGAATTCTTAATGTTTCCATAGACCATTAAGGGACTGGCTGTCTCGAAGATTTGGAGATTCCTCAGATAGTGACAATGGATTTTCTTCAACTAGTAGCACACCGGCTAAACCTACTGTGGAAAAATTGAGGTAAAGAAATATGTTCATAGAATTGTGACTTTTTGATAGTTTTTAATACAGTAGCATTTTGGTTCTAAAGTTTGCAGAAGTGTTGGATTCCTTTATAGGTACTATTTTATTTTTTATAAAAAGGTTTTTTATGAGATGAAAGGGAGGGAACTTATAGGCGCATTTTTTAAAAGTACACAAAAGAAGGTACCATCTCTTTAATTTTTTTTGTTTGAGAAGATTTATTTTTTATTTTATCTTTATTGTTGAAAGTATTCCATATGTTCCCCTTTCTTCCCCCAGTGACCCCCACCACTGCACTCCCACCCCCTCCTCAGACCTTCCCCGCATCACTGTCTGTCCATGGGCTATGCATATATGCATATAAGTTCGTTGGTTAATCTCCCCCCTCTCCGCCCTATGCTAGTCTGTTGCATGCTTCAGTGTCTCTGGATCTTTTTTGTTCATCAGTTTATCTTGTTCATTAGATTCCACGTATACGTGAGGTTATGTGATATTTGTCTTTCTCTGACTGGCTTATTTTGCTTAGCAAAATACTCTCCAGGAGGGTACCAACTCTTTAGATGGATAGATAGAAGAGGAGAAAAAGAGAAATCATCTGTGTGTTTATACTGTTACTTCTCTGTTGTCTTGTTCTACTTTAGAGATAATTGAGTTTCTGAAGACAGTTACCTGGAGGATATATTGAGGTCTGTTTTTGTGTAGGGGAGATGAAGGGTGCTGATGTATAATTTGTTCAGAAAGAACTGTGAAGACTTGGGTGGGCTTCTTTTCTTTCCCTAGTATTACAAAGAGTGACTATTATATGGATCTAAACCACAAAGGACATTTTCTTGGTTGGAACTTAATAGTATCTAAATCATAATTACAGAGTAGGCTGAGTAAGTAATTTTGTTCAATAAGCATATATATTTGTAAACAACTTCTTAGAACTTTGCCTATGTTAGGTTAAGAGAGTTGCTTTTTACATTTTAATTTAGATGTTCTGTTTTTATCCCAGAGCTTCAAAAGTTACACAATAGAAATATTTACATCTATAGTGAATATTTTTTAAATACATAGAAAATACTCCATTTTAGTTGGGTTTTATGAGGACAGGAGCTTGGACTAAATGTCATTTCTGTCTTTCAGAATCTATGATTATAATAACCAAATTATATACCACTAGATATAAGTGAAATAGTTAAAAAGTGTAAAGTAGACAAGAATGCAGCCAATTTTGAAAAGATAAAAAGATACTACTAAAAAGTTATAAAGTAGTGTTTGGAAAAAATTACATGACTATATATGTTTGGAAAATCTGTGTACCATAGCATGATATGATACCCATATCTTTTAGGGTTTGTGGTCTTGGAATGTAAAATGAGGAGATAATAGACCAACTTTTTTAAGTTTCAGGTTTCTTAGGAAGGGTAGTATGTGTTTCTAGTGTATAGACTAATGTCTGTGGTGATGTGTTGAAATATTTGAATTTGGTCTAAAGAAAGAGTTGAGAGTCTAAAATTTTATTGTAATTTTTAAGTGAGAAGGGAGAATTCTGAAATACTCAGAAATAATCTTACTGTATAATATGGTTCTTGGGATTAGTGACTAGATTGTATTATACATGAAAGTGATACTATAGAACGGGATTTCTTTATCATAAACTATAGCATGAGTACAATTTTGTATAATCAAATTCTTTTGCATAAGAATTTGATTACACAAAATTGAATAGAGAATTTATGACTGGATCTTTAATTTGCTTAGCCATTGTCTTGGGCCCCTTAACTTTTTGCTTTAGAGTATAGCTTAATTTTTCATACCCTGTTCCAACATGATGGGATCCATAACTGACCTGTGTAGAATCACATTCTATACTTGAAACATCCCAGTAAGGATATGAGTTCCCTGTCCTATTGTGAAGGAAAGTCCACTTACATTTGTTTGTTTCAACTAAATTTAGGCCCAGAATTGTTTTCTTCACATTTTAAAAAGTGTAATCACTTATAGGAAGGAAATGGTATGGATAGTTTAAAAAATTTGGGATTAAAAATAACAGATTATTAATTCATTCAAGAAATATTGAATGTCGGACACTTTTCTGCATGCTGGAGATAGTAGACCAAGCGGACTTAGATTCCTGTAGGGGGAGATAGTAAATAAGAAAGTAAAATTTGTAGTCTGTAAGATAAACTATCAAGGCATTAGAAGAACTATAAGTGAAAATTTTCTGATCTGATTTTTATTTTTTAAATCTTGGTATAGTCGAACCAAATTCCGCCACAGTCAGCAGTTATTTCCTGAAGGTTCCCCAGGTGACCAGTGGGTAAAGCACAGGCAACCACTGCAGCAAAAGCCATATAATAATCATTCCGAAATGTCTGACCTTCTGAAAGCAAAGGTGAGTGATACACATTTAAAGATTTTCATAACTTTAGATCATTTTGACTTTGAAATGTGTGTGAATTGGGGAATTGCAAATTAATAGTTATAGAGCTCTGAATTGTTGATGCAAGACTCCTGTGTTCCTGACTTGTGATTTGAAGCAGGGCTGAGACTCCTTAACCTTTACAGCTTTGCTATAAATCCAGTACAGTAAGTAACAGGGACTAACATCTGACTTTGGTATATATGCTACCAATGAAAGGTTCATTACTGTGTTGTATTCTAGTCTATGATTATATGACAATTTATTTATACATTCTACCTAAAAAATTTTTTCTTTATTTTTCAATTACAGTTGACATACAATATAATATTAGTTTCAGGTGTACAACAGTGATTCTACATTTATATAATTTACAAAGTGGTAACCCTGATAATTCTAGTACCCATATGACACCATATATAGATATTACAATATTATTGACTGTATTCCCTATCTGTAGTTTATATCTCCATGACTATTTTGTAACTGCTAATTTGTGCTGCTTATTCCCTTTACCTTTTTTACCCAGCAACCTAACTCCCCTCTCATCTGGCAACTATCAGTTTATTCTCTGTATTTGTGAGTTTGTTTCTGTTTTGTTTTTTTGTTTACTTTGTTTTTAGATACATACAAGTAAAATCATATGTCATTTGCCTTTCTCTATCTGACTTACTTCACTTAGCATAATACCCTCCAGGTCTATCTCTCTTGTCTCAAATAGTAATATTTCATTTTTTCTTAAGGCCAAGTAGTATTTCATTGTATATACCTACCACTTCTCCTTTATCCATTTGTCTCGCAATATGCACTTAGGTTGCTTCCATATCTTAACTATTTTAAATAATGCTGTAGTGAACATAGGGATGCATATATCTTTAAATTAGTGCTTTGGATTTTTTTCAGATAAATATCTAAAAGTGGGATTGCTGGGCCATATAGTAATTCTGTTTTTAATGATCTGAGGAACCTCTCTACTTTTTTCCATAGTGGCTGCACCAGTTCATAATGTCACCAATAGTGCTTGAGGGGTCCCTTTTCTCTGAGTCCTATCCAACACTTGTTTCTTGATTTATTGATGGTAGCCATTCTGACAGGTGTCAGGTGATATCTCATTGTGGTTTTAATTTGCATTTCCCTGATGACTACTGATGTTGAGCAACTTATCATATGTCTGTTGGCTATCTGTATGTTCTCTTTGGAGAAATGTCTATTCAGGTCCTCTGCTCATTAAAAAATTTTTTTTTATTGATTTGAGAGAGAGAGAAACAAACATCCATTTGTTTTCCTACATATGCATTCATTGGTTGATTCTTGTATGTGCCTTGACCTGGGATCAAACCTACAACCTTGGCTTGGAGATAACAGTCTAACCAGAGTTACCCAGCCAGGGACTCTGCCCATTTTTTAAATTGGATTGCTTGTTGTTTTGGTATTAAGTTGTATGAGTTCTTTATATATTTTGGATATTAACCCATTATTGGGTTTGTCATTGGTGAATATTTTCTCCCATTCATTAGGTTGTCCTTTTGTTTTGTTGGTTTCCTTAGCTGCATAAAAACTCTTTAGTTTGATGTAGTCCCATTTGTTTATTTTTTCTTTTGTTTTCCTTGCCTGAGGAGACATAGTTTTAAAAATATTAGCAAGAGTGATATGAAAGAGTTCACTGCCTATTTTTCTAGGAGTTTTATGGTTTGGGGGTCTTATGTTGAAATCTTTAGTCCATTTTGAGTTTACTCTTGTATATGGTATAAGAAAGTTGTCCAGTTTCTTTTGCATGTGTCTGTCCAGTTACCCCAGCACCATTTATTGAAGAGACTGTCTTTGCACCATTGTATATTTTGCCTCCTTTGTTATAGATTAATTGGTCATATAGGCGTGGGTTTATTTCTGGGCTCTCTCTTCTGTTCCATTGATCTGTGTGTCTGTTTTATGCCATTACAATGCCATTTTGATTACTACAGCCTTATAGTATCGTTTGATATTAGGTAGTGTGATACCTCTAACTTTGTTGTTCTTCTCAAGATTGCTTTGGCTCTTCAGGGTCTTTTGTGGTCCATATAAATTTTTGGATTATTCTAGTTCTGTGAAAAATGCCATTGGTATTGATATGGGTAGAATCAGTAGATTGCTGTGGGCAGTGTGGACATTTTAATGATATAAATATCTTTAATTTCTTCTGTGACTTATTATTTTCTGGGTACAGATGATTTACCACCTTGGTTTAATTTATTCCTAGGTAGTTTATTTTTTGATGCAGTTGTGAATGGGATTGTTTTAATTTCTTTTTCTGATAGTTTGTTATTGGTGTATAAAAATGCAACTGCTTTTCAAATATTAATATCATATCCTGCTACTTTACTGAATTCATGTATCAGTTCTACTAGTGTTTTGGTGGACTCTTTGGGGGTTTTTATATGTTATATGCAAATAATTATAGTTTTACTTCTTCCTTTTCAATTTGGATGCCTTTTAGTTTTTTATTCTCGTCTGATTGCTGTAGCTAGGACTTCCAGTATTGTGTTGAATAGAAGTGTGGTGAAAGTAGACATCCCTGTTTTGTTCCTAATCTTAAGGGAAATGCTTCACTATTGAGCATGATGTGAGCTGTGGGTCATATATGGCCTTCATTATGTTGAGGTATATTTCATCTATTCACACTTTGAGAGTTTTTATGATAAATGGATGGTGAATTTTGTGAAATGCTTGTTCTGCATCTGTTGATATGATCATATGATTTTTATCCTTCATTTTGTTTATATGGTGAACATGTTAATTGATTTGTGGATATTGAACCAACCCTGCATCCCAGAAATAAATCCCACTTGATCATTGTGTATGTTCTTTTTAATGTATTGCTGGATTCGGCTTGCTAATATTTTGTTGAGGATTTTAATATCTATGTTCATCAGGAATATTGGCTTATTTTTTTTGTAATGTCTTTGTGTAATTTGAGAGTGAGAGTAATGCTGGCCCCATAAAAGGAGCTTGGGAGCCTTCTCTCTTCTTCAGTTTTCTGGAATAGTTTGAGAAAGATAGGTGTTAAATATTCTTTGATTGGTAAAAATCACCTGTGAAGCTATCTGATCCAGGACTTTTGTTTGTGAGGAATTAAAAAAAAAATTTGTTTTCATTTCAGAGAGAGGAAGGGAGAGGGGGAGAGAGATAGAAACATCAGTGATGAGAGAGAGTCACTGATTGGCTGCCTCCTGCAGGTCACTACTGGGGATCAAGCCCAAAACCCGGGCATGTGCCCTGACTGGGAATCGAACTGTGACCTCCTGGTTCATGGGTCAACGCTCAACCACTGAGCCATGCTGGCTGTGCTGCCAGGAGCTTCTTGATTACCGATCTGATTTTTTTTTTTAGTAGTTATTCTGTTCAGATTTTCTGTTTCTTGATTTGGTCCTGGAAGATTGTATCTTTTAGGAATTTATTTTCTTCAGGGAATTTCTTTTCTCCAGTTTGTTGGCATTTAATTGTAGTTTTTTTTCTAATGCTTTGTATTTCTGTGGTGTCACATTGTCACTTCTCTTTTATTTCTGATTTCATTTATTTTGATCCTCTTGTTTTTTTCATGTCTGGTTACAGGTTTATTCAGTTTATTTTTTCAAAGAACCAGCTCTTGGTTTCATTGACCTTTTGTATTTTTGTTCTGGTCTTAATTGTTTCCTTCCTTCCTTGTAACTTTGGGCTTTTTTTTTTTTCTCCTAGTTTTTTATTTTTTTTTTATTTTTAATTTTTTTATTTTTTTAGGTGTAAGGTTAGATTGTTTATTTGAGATATTTCTTATTTCTTGAGGTAGGCTTGTATTGCTATGAATTTGTCTCTTAGAACTGCTTTGGCTGTGTTCCATAAATTTTTGTATCGTTGTTTTCATTTTCATTTGTCTCAAGGTATCTTTTGATTTCTTCCTTTATCTAGTTGTTAACCCTTCATTGTTTAGTAGCATGTTATTTAGCATTCAGTGTTGTTTTTTTTTTTTTTTTTTTTTGGTAATTGATTTCTGGTTTCTTACCATTTTGATTGAAGAACATGCTTGATATGATTTCAGTCTTCCTAAATTTATTGACTCGTTGTGTGGCCTTAATGTGGTCTATCTGGGAAAATGGTACAGGTGTGCTTGAAAAGAACATATATTCTGCTGCTTTGGGGTAAAATGTACTAAATATCAATAAAATCCATCTGGTCTAATGTGTCATTTTAAGGCTGCTGTTTTCTTGATTTTCTGTTCAGATGATCTATCCATTGATGTCATTGGTGTGTTAAAGTCCCCTACTATTGTATTACTGTTGATCTGTCTCTCTTTGTCCATGGATATTTGCTTTATATATTTAGGTGCTTCTGCGTTATGTGTATAAATGTTTTCAAAGGTTTTGTCTTCCTATTGGATTGTTTTATCATTATGAAATGCCTTTTTTCAAAATCTTTATTATAACCTTTGTTTTGAAGTCTGTTTTGTCTGATATAAGTATTGCTACCTCAGCTTTTTTCTTTTTTTTATTTGCATCCCTCAGTCTGTATATGTCTTTGACTTGAAGTGGGTCTCTTGTAGGCAGCATTTGTATGGGTCTTGTTTTATCTGTTCAGCTACCCTATGTCTTTTGATTGGGGCATTTAATTTGTTTACATTTAAAGTAATTAGTGATAGATACGTAGTTGTGCCATTTTTTTAACTTACGTTTTTGCTCTTTTTATCTTCTTAAAGAAGTTCCTTTAACATTTTTCAAAAATTTTTTTTTTTTAATATATGTTTATTGATATCAGAGAGGGGAAGGGAGAGGGAGAGAGAGAGATAGAAACATCAATGATGAGAGAGTCATTGATTGGCTGCAGCCCACAACCCGGGCATGTGCCCTGACTGGAAATCGAACCCTGATTGCCTGGATCCTAGGTCGATGCTCAGCCGCTGAGCCACGCCCAGCTGGGCAACATTTCTTATAATAATGGTTTGGTGGTGATGAACTCCTTTAGCTTTTTCTTGTCTGGGAATTTCTTTCTACCTCCTATTTTAAATGATTGCCTTGATGGATAGTAATCTTGGTTGTAGGTCCTTGCTTTTCATCCTTCTGGCCTGCAAAGTTTCTTTTGAGAAACTAGTTGACAGTCTTGTGGGAACTTTCTTGTACATAACTGCTTTTCTCTTGCTACTTATAAGGTTCTCTCTTTGCCTTTAACCTTTTTCATTTTAATTGTGATGTGTCTTGTTGGTGCCTCTTTGGGTTCATCTTGTTTGGGACTGTGCGCTTCCTAGACTTGTATATGTACTTCCTTCGTCAGGTTAGGGAAGTTTACAGTCCTTATTTTTTCAAATAGGTTTTTAATCCCTTGCTATCTCTTTTCTCCTTATGGTATTCGTATGATGCAAATGTTGATATTGTCCCAGCAGGAATTGAACCTTTAACCCTTTGATGCGTGGGATGACATTCTAACCACTGAGCCACACTGGCCTGGGTCATTTTCTTCTTAATACCCTTCGTTTTAGGAATTCAGTTAGTCTTCAGGTGATTCTCAGTGATGGTTGTTATATAAGTTGTAATTTTGATGTGGTCATGGGAGGAGGTGAGCACAGTGTTTATCTACTGCTCAGTGTTTGCTGGAAGTCCTCTGTTCTACTCTTAATGGACATTTGGTTATTTCCAGTTAGGGGTTTTTACAAATAATAGTGTGATGAATATTAATGTGCATATCTTTGATGAAATACACATATTTGGGGTTATATATAAGGTGTACCCCAAAAATGTATTATACACACTTTGAATAATTATAAAGGCAGTGCTTATTAAAATACATTTCATTTTCAAAATTGAGCAATCAGCTGTTAAAGTGTGTATACATTTTTTGGGGGACACCTGTATATAACTGACAGAATTATTGGATCACTGAATATGGCTGTGTTCTTGAGTATATACTGCAAACAATATTCTCAAGTAATTTGTATTTTCAGCAAAATATATGAGAATTCCAGTTGTTCCACACCTTTACTAATGCTTGGTGTTATCTGTCTTTATTACGGCAGCCATCCATTTTGGTGTCACTCTTTATTTTCATTCTTTTAAAACATACTGGATTCATCAAAATTAAAAGCTTTTGTTGTGTCAGAGGACACCATCAAAAGAATGAAAAGATAACCTACAGAAAGGAAGAATATATTACAAGTCATTTACATGAATATCATTTATATGATGGATTACTGTCCAAAATATATAAAGAACTCCTAAACTCAATAGCTAAATAAATAAATAAATGTAAAAATAAAATAGCAAAATAAATAAAAGCAAACAAAAAACCCAATTAAAAAATGGACAAAGGGCGTGGGGATAGACTACAAATGGCCAATAAGCATGTGAAAAGATGTCCAGCGCCATTTGTGAGTAGAGAAATGTTAATCAAAACCACAATGAGATACCACTTCATACCCGTTAGGATGGGTATAATGAAGAAAATGGAAAATAACAAATGTTGACAAGTATGTAGGGAAATTGGAACCCTCATACATTGCTGCTTGAAATGTAAAATGGTGCAGCTGCCATGGAAAACAATTTGATGGTTCCTTAAAGAGTTAAACATAGAATTACCATATGACCTAGCAATTCCATTCCTAGGTATATACTTAAAAGAATTGTAAGCAGAGATTAACAAATCCTAAACCACTATCTCAGCTCCTAGATGAGGAGGAACTCAAAAAATAACTTGTATACCAGGGTTGATAGTAGCATTATTCATAATAGCCAGAAGGTGGATGATGAAAAAGTTCTGGAGATGGATACCGGTGGTGGTTGCGCAACATTGTAACTATATTTACTGCCACTGAATTGTACACTCAAAAGTGGTTCAAGTGGTAAATTTTATGTGTATTGTACCACTTATAATAAAAAGTAAGTACCAGCAGGAGCAGAATGGAATTGAATTAAAATTGTATGGTAACGTAAGTTTCTAAAGCCCGCATTTCCCTACCATTCTTTAGTTAACATTGTTTTCAAGCTATTTTAGGAATTGTTTGATTTTTTCCTGTAGGTAGATGAAATTAAAAGAAATAAATCTATTTTTATATATTTTAAATAATAATAAAGCTATTTTATTCACACTGTTTTAGTCAAGCCTCTTGAAGTGCTGCTATTTCAATACGACTGAAGGCAAATTAATGTTTAAAATCTGTTGTAAGTTAAACTTAGAATTTTTGTAAGAAAATTAACTCATGTTAAAGCAGTGTAATAGGAAGATGTTAGCTGTTGAGTGTTTAGGCTTTAGGTCTAAACTTAGCGATAATGGCCCAAATTTTTAAAACACCACTCTTCTTTATTTTATAAAATGAGAATATTAATTTAAAAATGCTATTTGTTAATAATTTAAAAGCACATTATAGGGTGACAGTTGATCACCTCTGCACCTATTTCCTACTCTGAGAACTGTGTCCAGTATTCCTCAGCATTTCCTCCCAGGGAACTTTTCTTTGACATTCACCTAAGGTTTTCAGACTTGTTCTTCTCCTCCCATTGTTTACAAAAAAGTTTTTAAAACATGTTTTTTATTGATTTTGAAAGGAGAGAGCCTGGCTGGGCATGACTCAGCGGTTGAGCATCAACCTTGGATCCAGGAGATCAAAGTTCGATTCCTGGTCAGAGCACATGCCCGGATTGCAGCTGGATCCCCAGCAGGGGGCGAGCAGGAGGCAGCCAGTCAATGATTCTCTCTCATCACTGATGTTTCTGCCTCTCTCTCCCCCTCCCCCCCTCTCT